GGAGCAATCTGTGGAGCTGGAAGCTGAGAACTGGCGACTTTGTAGTACAACTTTAGTACGCGGAGTAGCTGGGGAGCTGGAAGATGAGAACTGGCGACTTGGTAGTACAACTTTAGTACGCGGAGTATCAGGGGAGTGGTAAGATGAGAACTGGTGACATGGTAGTACAATGACTTGGTAGTACAACTTGAGTACGCGGAGCATCTGGGGAGCTGGAAGATGAGCACTGGCGACTTTGGAGTACAACTGCAGTACGCGGAGTAGCTGGGGAGCTGGAAGATGAGAACTGGCGACTTTGTAGTACAACTGTCGTGCGCGGAGTAGCTGTGGAGCTGGAAGATGAGAACTGGCGACTTTGTAGTACAACTTTAGTACGCGGAGTAGCTGTGGAGCTGGAAGCTGAGAACTGGCGAGTTTCTAGTACAACTTCAGTACGCGGAGTATCTGGGGAGTGGGAAGATGAGAACTGGTGACTTGGTAGTACAATGACTTGGTAGTACAACTTTAGTACGCGGAGTATCTGGGGAGCTGGAAGATTTAGAAGTGCTTCTCCCCTTACCGGCAGCTCAAATGCTCATGACGATGAGCTGGGCTGTCACCGCTTGGCCGCCGGTGGGGGGTTTGGGAGGCCGCATCACACACAGACACCCATGCACTGCCTCAATTTACACGAACACACACCCATTCGCAGACTCATATACACACGGACATAGATCCACACACTACCTCAACCCACTCGACTTAACACTTCACACTGCACACTTGACAGATAACTCGCACTCTGACTTCCTACGTGATGAAAAATGCATTCGGGCCACTCGTCGTCTAGTTTCATAGGACCCCATATGGGATATTATATTGGGTTCCAGGAACATCTATTATAGATGTTCCTGGAACCCATTTGACCTCTGTTTTGATAGGACAAGACCATATTTTGGGTGGTTGGTGGTCCAAAACTAGGTTTATATCGGATTTTAAAGGGTCCTTCAAGTTGCTGAGAGAACTCTTTGGGCGTGGAGAGTCTTTGGTAGATGGGACCCTCTATGAATGGGCGTCCTGGCTGGAGTACCCTGCATGAACTACCCTACACGACCAGCCAGGATGGTCCAGACAGGATCCAGATGATCCATTGTTCTTTGTGTTTCATCCGAAGTCCGAAGTGTTCATGGAACGTCCAGTTTGCCAACAAATTCCAAGCAATGTCCAATTGTTAAGTACTATGCTGGTACATGCTGGTACTTAATTGTTCCACTTCAATGGTTCCAGATTGAATTCCCACTTAGAAATGGCAAATGACGTAGAACAACAGCAGCCGAATCCCTTCAATCGACTATCGACTATCGGATTGGTTTATTAGTTCGTCGTTCGGGATGTTCCTCTAATCTCATCTCCTAAAACCATGGTGGTTTGTTTTGATGTTTTCGTTCCCTTTCCAGATTCAATAGAGCTAGTGCAAAAACCTTCTAAAGATGAGCTAGACAGTGCTGCCATATGTCACAAGGACGTCCACGACAACATATTTCATGGGCCAAGGAGTTTCAGGGCTTGAGTAACAGCATTCACAGGTGAGTCATTGCACCCAAAACCACGCAGCTCGCGCCTTCGAGCGGCTCCACCGGGCCAGCTCCGCGTCGAGGCAGTGGACTGGGCGTCTTCCCGTGCGACCGATCCGGAACTTGGAACGGGTTCGCGGCGGGGTGTTCCCACCCAATCGCTCAATTGGATCCACGCAGGTTCGCGACCCGAGCTGGGCCCGAATCCGGAGGGGTCGAACGGGTTGAGCCTCATCCCGAGGTTTGGAGGGACCAACCCAGCTGAGGACCGCACGGTGTGCAGCGCGTTCGCGACACCCGCGCCGCTTCGCGCCAAGCCACCTGAGGTGCAGGACATATCCAGCAGTGGTCCGGTCCGTGTGGGTCCTAGGTCCGGGCGATCTAAGCTCGTGCGACATGGATGGAAATGATGTCTTGGGGGTTGCGCCCCTTTGAAGCAGCTGGTGAGTTTGGTTGGTCCAATTTGTTGGTTGGCAGCTGATTGTGTCTATACGACGTCGAAACCAAAACCAGGGTTTTGAGCCGATAGTCTTTTTTGGTCTCCGAACGGGAACGACTGGGTGACCCGCGACCACCGGCGATGGACACCCGAGGTGCCCGGACCTTGCTCCATGGACGCCGCGCAAGCGCCCGCAGCGGTTCGGTGCGCTCAGCTCGTGGCCGGAGCGGCGGGCGGCGACGGGCGGTTTGGTTGTCTTCCCCCCGATGGCCTCGCGGGTACCCTGCCCCGGAGCTACTCGGGTTTGACTCTGCTTTTTGTCTTCGTCGTGACCAGTGTAGTGACACGGTTGATGTAAACCGTGTGTGACACTACAAGTGGCATATGCTGGCTTGCGAGATTGTTGAGCAGCACAGCTTGACTTTGATGGCTTTGATGCGCAAGCCGCGCAAGCCGTCATGATCCAGAAGGCTGGGTGTGTTGCTCAAAGGAAGCTATGTTGAATTATTGCCACAGTGGCTTGATTTCATTTCGTCTGGAGGTGTTTCGTGGGTTTTCCTGCCGGCAACGAGTCGAAACTATATGAAGGTGTGCAAACAAGTTGGCGTCGACTTCGTTGACTACCATTGAAACCTTCTGTGTGATGGACAGCTTCTCTGCAGTCGGTTTCACTTTTCGATGCATTGATTCCGGTGGTGACATATCCACTCCATGCTTTAAAGCTGAGCTGCATCCACAAGTGGTGGCAGAAGGCTGTCCCGGCGCGCATTTGCAGAGCGGCTCAGGAAAAGAGGGGGCAAGGTTGTCGTTGGACATCGAACTTGGGCAACTGCGGGCCATAGATGATGTTAAAGGTTTGAATTAGGTTTGATATTTTCATAGATTCTTCAGCTGCGATCCGCTTTGAGGGCTGTAGCAGTAGCCAGCCTTAGCACTCAGGGTTTCTTGTGTGTACGACGCAGAAACGAAGGTTTTGAGCCGCTATAGGTTCTGTTTTTCCCCAGATAGCGAGGCTATGGCTTCAAATAACAATGAGTTGCCCATGCGCGCTTTCGAGACAGGTTGCTGGTGCTGGGTGCCGGTGCTGGTGCTGGTGCTGTGAGCTGGATGTGCATGTGGTGGAGACAGGTTGCTGGTGCTGGTGCCGGTGCTGGTGCTGTAAGCTGGCTGTGCGCGTGGTGGAGACAGGTTGCTGGTGCTGGTGCCGGGTGCCGGTGCTGGTGCTGTGAGCTGGCTGTGCATGTGGTGGAAGCAGGTTGCTGGTGCTGGTGCTGGTGCCGGGTGCCGGTGCTGGTGCTGTGGCTGGATGTGCACGTGGGAGACAGGTTGCTGGTGCTGGTCCGGGTGCCGGTGCTGTGAGCTGGCTGTGCACGTGGTGGGGACAGGTTGCTGGTGCCGGTTGCCGGTGCTGGTGCTGTGAGCTGGCTGTGCACGTGGTGGAGACGTTGCTGGTGCTGGTGCTGGGTGCCGGGCGCCGGTGCTGGGGCTGGTGCTGTGAGCTGGCTGTGCACGCGGTGGAGACAGGTTGCTGGTGCCATCAATGAGCGAGGAGTCACTGTATATGGCAGCAGTCGTGGGCTGGTGCCGGGTGCCGGTGGTGATGCCCGCTTCTGACAGTGAACAGGACCCTTTGGGTGGGCTGAAGGTTGAAAGTGGAGATACAACACGTACAAGATAATCTCACAAAGTTTCACATGGTTCCACGCTTCTGGGGCCCTTGACATGTGGATGCAGGCGTCCGAAAGAAGGCCCGCAAGAGAGAGCGCCCAATAACCAAGGAAACTTCATGGAGCGTTCAATGCACGGCTTCAATCGTCTGCATCAACAACATCGCGAAGGTGGACCCAGAGGGATGGTTCTGCTTACTAGATAGTGGCCACACTGTCAAAGCACTCGTGAAGATGATGGATGAGCATGACAACAGCAAGGACGGGCCTGATTGCATTGTTTCACAGACACGCAAGCATGTATGTTATGTAATGCCTACCTAGGATTAGGGACCCCCCC